TCATACAACGATCGCTTAAATTACGCGGTCAGCGACGTTTATACAATACCTACTGGTTCTTATGAATTACATGAAATCGAGACAGTAATAAAGCGTACATTACTCACCGATCAAACATTTGAGCTGAGGGCCGATAATAACACATTAAAATGTGAAATGATATCCAACAAATCTATAGATTTATCTATGCCGAATAGTATTGGCGAGTTTTTGGGTTTTAAAAATCAAATTTATGAGGCTAATATTAAACACAAATCGGATACGTTAGTCAATATTACCAGAACAAACTGTATATAATATATCGATTCAAACTTAGTTATGGGTTCATTCGTCAACGGAAAGCAGTGTCATACAATACACGAGTTTTACCCAAATGTACCTCCAGGTTATAAAATAATTGAGGTACCTACACATTTAGTATTTTACCCCCTTAATACTACATCTATAACACGCGCAAGTATAATTTTAAAAAATCAGAACGACGAATTGATCGATCTACTAGTTGAGCCTGTATCAATCCGACTATTAATTCAAGACTTGTAGTATGGGACTGCAATTTTATAATATAAATACATCTACACGTGTAAAACCTGTTAGTCGTGTTAATAACACTAACAAGGTAACATCTCTAAAGAAAAATTCGATACGAAAACAAGTTGGTCTAACAGCAGACAATTTGGCTTTTCTACGTTCGCTAAACGCTATTTAATATGGATGATACTTATTTAAATGTTACGGCTGGTTACGTAGATGATTGTAGAATAACTCAAATCGACTATCATTCTTTTTTACCTTTTTCGACATCCGCTCTTTCCAATAACGATGAGGTGCGTATTGCTTTACATAATACAGAATCGTATACTTTACCGTGTGAGAGTTATATATACATCGAGGGGACAATAACCAAACCTGCAGAAATAACTGACGAGATTAGATTTATAAACAACGGACTGTCATTTCTTTTCTCCGAAATGAAATATGAAATAAACGGCAATCAGATTCAAAAACTCGTTAATCCTGGTATATCGACTACATTAAAAGGATATTGCTCGTATAACAAAACGAATATCACTTCACACCACAACTCTGCTTGGGGTAGTGATATTCAAAATGTTAATAAAGATTTTATTGTCAACGGTAATTTTAATGGATGTATTAATCTTAAAGATTTGTTTGGTTTTTGTGAAGATTATAAACGAATTTTAATAAACTGCAATCAACAACTTATATTAAATAGAGCCTCGATCGATATTAATGCTGTTAAACAATATAAAAATAACGAAGTTGTCGTAGACGCTCCCAAACTAAAAGACGTTAAAATAAACATAACAAAAATATTGTGGAGAATGCCTATAGTGAAAGTTAGTGATAGAGAAAAAATACGACTGTTGAAAATAATCAACAATCAAAAACCTCTAACATGTGCGTTTAGATCGTGGGAGCTGTGCGAATATCCATTTTTACCTCAAAACACTTCGCATTCGTGGAAAGTAAAGACATCCAATAAATTAGAAAAACCTAGATATGTTATCATCGGCTTTCAAACTGATAGGAAAAATAGTTCGAATAAAGCAATGTCATATTTCGAGCATTGTAAAATTAAAAACTTAAAGGTTTATTTAAACTCTGAAGTATTTCCCTATGAAGATTTTCAAAGCGACTTTACAAAAAATAAGATGGCGACATTATATCGCGCGTATGCCGAGTTTCAAAAATCTTACTACGGACATGACGAAGTGACACCTCTTTTGATTAGAACAGATTTCAAAAATCTAGCACCGATTATAGTTGTTGACATGAGCAGGCAGAATGACAACGTGAAAATGTCTACGCTGTAGACCTTAGAATTGAACTCGAAGCCGACGAAACGTTTCCAGCTTCCACTTCAGCATATTGTTTAATATTACACGATCAAATCATAACTTATAATCCATTTAACGGAGAAGTTAGAACCTTGTAAATATTTATTGTAAACCTTTATATTAATAAATAAAATTACTTTTTTTTTTTAATTTATTGTATATTGAATGTAAACCTTAATATTAATAAATGAAAATACTTTTTTATATATCACGCTTGTTTTTTTTTATTTCACATAAATTATTTAATTATTGTACATACAACATATTAAAATAAACGAGGCTTGACATCACGTACTGGTGACGGATGTTTGGTAAATGAAGAATGCGAGCGTTTGTGTGATGTGGTTGGATATTTGATGCAATTTGAACGAGATGGCGGTGTCATTAGCATCGGCGGTAACCAAGTTCGATCGTAAAAATCTGGACCGTCATTTTCGTCCACCGATTGCGGAATCTCGTCTACAGGTATCGATGGCCCGTCTATTTGATCAAACGCCTGTAAAAAAGTAAATTAAATTAATATTGTTTTTATTTAAAAAAGTATTTTTATAAATTACCTGTACCGAAATATCATTTCCTGACTGATTAAACAAGTGATGAGAGTCTTGAGTGTCGGGGATATTGGGTATCGGCGAATAGATCGGTGAGATAGGAGAATAGTTCGGCGAGATCGGTAAATCTATTTTATCATTCTGAAATAAAAAAAAAATGTTATTAAATATTTTTTCTACATGTAATAATATATTTATGATTTACCTCGTGTGAGTTTTGAGATCTCAGTTTTAACACAAGATCAGCTACATGTGCAGCAGCGAATAATTGAATTTGTTTGGTTATGACTGGGTCCGATTGTATGAGCCGATAGTCATGATCCTTCTTAATGAAAGTTATCATTTCGTCTAAATTTACCGGTGGTGACTGCATCTGGTTAAATTTCTCTTCCAAGTAATATGCATAGTCTCTAACTTGTTTTATAATTAATTGATGATTATATGCTCCGGTCCGGCATACGGTTTCGAAAATAACACCTTCTAGATATTGAAGTATAATAAGATCCGCCCGATTCAATAGGATTCTACACCCTTCTTGCGATTTTCCTTCTATCACTAATACATTTTCCCCTCTATATACCATACTCGATAATTTATACAAATCGTCTTCACAAAATATCACGCGCTTATATTTCTCCGGTATATCCAGTATAAAGGACAAGATATGCCCCATGTATGAGAATATCCGCCTTAGAAATTCGTAACTTAAAGTCACGTAACGCGAAGAAGTTAATATAAGTGCAACGATACTAAAGTCTTTTGAATCAAGCCCGATGTGGATAAACTTACGGCTCGCAAAGTCGATGGTAAAGCTAGTTGATTCCATCAGATCTGTCGGAGGTGATGGTGGTACATAAGTAAAAGCCTTTTTTCTGTATAATGCTGCGTTAACTTCAATTGAACCAGCCATGTTTTTAAAAATCGTTTTTAAAATAATAAACACGGAGAAAAAATGTAAAATAATATCGTGTAAATGTGTAAAGACTTTGAAAACACGGAGCGTACGAAGGCAAGGTGTATGTAATCGTATGAGTATCTGGAACAGACTGATTCTGTCTTGGCGGACAACGGAGTACGCAGACTGTATTGAATTGAAGCTATATGTGTTGTCATCATCAGACTACCCACGCATGGTAGCCTACCCGCGAACGGGTCGGTACAAGACGCTACTACAACAATTGACGATGATTGTCCCTACCAGCACGTTATGAAAACAATGGATTTGAGTCAATGTATATTTCTAAACATATATTCCTCACTCGATGAAGCCATAACAATAGTTGTTAACATATGCCACATTGAGAATTAGTATGTAACCATTATACGAACGATATATTTATAAATATTAATGATAATAAGTTGATTACGATAATATGATAATACGTTGGTTACGTGTGTGATATGTTTCGCGTGCGTGCATACGTTTTCCCGTGCGCATGCGCGAAAAGATATAGAAGTGTACAATAATACGATAGTGATAACTTGATAATGAGATGATAACGTATCTGATAACACATCAGATGTTGTATAGATAGTAATATATGTTAGTTACGTTCCTGAACGGGCGGCGGCGTCGGTAGTGGGGGTAAATATACGTCACACACGTAAGCGATCGGGCGGCGGCGGTTGTGGTTGAGGGTTGAGGGTTGAGGCATCTGAACTGTCCATTTTATACTACTACCCAACTACATAAAACTCGAAATAACCAAGAAAAACCAGTTACGCCGCCAATGGCAGAGAAATCGTTACTCGACCACCATCGCCAACTTAATGCTTAAATCTCTCTAATCAGAACTCTACTTGAAACTCACAAAACCGACCAGTGGGACATTTTTCTTAACTCTCCTGACCACCAAGACGGTTCCATATACAAATTAAACAAGTGTCTCCTCCAAAAACGCCCAGCATCCCACCCACATACCGGCCCTAACAGTCTAGTTTTTCCGGCTATTGATCGAGCCGAGTTATAGCTGACTCTCTCGAACTTCAGTTCCAACCAAACCCTTCCAGAAGTGACTGCACACTTCAACTTACTGCGAAACATCACAATTTCCAATTCTAAATTGTACATCACTCCTGACACAATCCAAAAAATCATAAGTAACCTCCGCAAAAAAAAAGCCCCTGGTGACGTCCTCATCACCAACACTGCTCTCAAATTTCTACCAAACAACTTTCTGCTTTCCCTAACACAAATCATCAACTGTTCCCTCAGAATTTGCTACTTTTCACGTGCTTGGAAAATATCAGTAATAATTTCCATCCCCAAGCCAGGTAAAGACCACAAACTACCCGAAAACTACCGACCAATCGCTCTACTCTCCTCCATATCAAAAATTTAAGAACGAATCATCCTCACTCACCTTCAAAACAATCTCCGAGACAAAATCCGCCCAGAACAATTTGCCTTCAGACCAGAACACTCTACCACTCTACAACTGACCAAACTTACTCACCAACTTAGCCAGAACTTTAACAACAACATAAACACTGCTTCTATATTTCTTGACGTGGAGAAAGCCTTCGACCGAGTCTGGCACGTTGGTCTTCTCCACAAACTATCCCAACTCAACATCCCGACTGAAATCGTTAAAATCATCGAATTCTTTCTCACTGACCACACCTTTATCACAAAAATCGAAGACTCTTTCTCGTCCGCCGGACATATACTCGCAGGCGTCCCTCAATTATCCTGCCTTTCACCTACTCTCTACTTGACTTACATAAACGACATACCAACTCCAAAGTACATCTCTCACTATTCGCTGACGACACTATGTTCTTTACTTTCGACAAAAACCCGAAACTTGCAGCCATACAATTACAACACCAACTCAACTTAGCTTCCACATGGTTCCATCGCTGGAGAATCAAAATAAACCCGACCAAAACTGTAGGTATTCTTTTTAGACGATCTAATACTACACATATCCCTCCATTACTACTCGACAACCACCCCATTAGCTGGTCCAACCAAGCGAAATACCTCGGCGTTACCATCGGGCGCAAGCTCACCTTCGGCAAACACATCCTTAACATAACAAAAAAGGCCACCCGCACCCGAGGTATGCTCTACCCCATACTTAACCGTTCTAGCCCCGTCCCAAAGATGGTGTTTTGGAGTTGGCAGGTAACGCCGCCCGTGACAACAAGAAGTCTCGTATCATCCCCAGACATTTGCAATTGGCAATCAGAAATGACGAGGAATTGAACAAATTGTTGTCCGGAGTAACCATCGCTCAAGGTGGTTGGTATGTTACCCAACATCCAAGCCGTTCTTTTGCCCAAGAAGACCGAGAAGAAAGCTTAATTAATTTGCTCACTCAAATCGTTTACCATACTTATCAACCTAAAAGGGCCCTTTCAGGGCTACCATATTTGAAAATTTTCCCTAGCTTAAATTATATAGTCCATATTCATAATGCTTTACTAACTAGTTGTTGGTACTCTCGAATGAGGTGGAATTTATACAGTGCAGCTACTGTAACAGACTTACAAAATGTGTGCCAAATGGAGCTGCAGAGGCTTAAGGTGTCTGTACACTGTATCCTGTCGTCCATAATTTAGGACGCCGTCTTGAAATTACAGTGTTTTGATTGGCTGAATATTGTGGTTACCTAATTAATATACCATGTTACCAGGCGTTACCAGAAAGTTGAAAAAAATTCAACTTGTCATCGTGCGGTAACAGTCGTGGTTCAATCCTCCTGATAATTATAAATAATTGTTATCAACTACCTTCTATCATAAAATAAAGTGCTATGTAGAAAAACATAGCTTGGCCGAAATTAAATAACAAATGTGAAGCGAAAACTAGTGTGGTTCATTTCTGTAGTTGAATGGACCATTCTGTACACAAATATAAGTATAATAATATATATTATATATTACACAGGCGACGAGTTTTAAAAATAAAGGAGCAACAGGCCGATTTTAATTTTAATTTTTATATAAACGTGCTTGGCATTCTATCACAAAATGACTTCATTTGTTCAAGTATGTTTTTTATATTATTATTGTGTGTATTTACTATATTTTGTACTATTTTGAATTTCAAGTATTTAAATATTATTATTATTATTATTATTTAAAGTATTCTTGAACAATTTAAATATTTGTTTTTCTTTGTTTATTTATCAATTACCTATAATATTTTGTACTGTCAGGGATCAGTTTGTATATTTTGCAATAAGTTTGTATTAAAAAACGAACATAATACATGCCTGTATTCAAAATCAAGTTTTTTTTTTTTATGTATTTTATGCTGTTTAAAATGTTCAATTATTTTAATTTAAAATTATTTGTTATGGTAATTCTTTTCGAATTAGACCAACCATCAACATGTTCTATTTCTACCACTATCAAAACAGAATTACAAAATACAAAATGTATGGATAATGATGATGAAAATGATGATGATTTTGAAGGGTTGAAAAAGACTTGTGAGATTTCTAAAGAGGATTATTCACGCCTAATAGAATTTATAGAGCCATGTCGTCCAATTTGGGATCACAAAATGAATTTAAGTGAGAGATCAGAGAACATTAAGGATCGTTTCTGGAACCAAGTGTATGTGGAGTTTGAAGGTAAATTATTCCAAATTAATTAAGCTGTAGACTATAATGTAATATTTTTTTAAAATAATTTATAATAATAGGAATTAGCTATAAAAGTTAGTAGTATTGTAACGTGGTCGGGGAAGACCAGTTAAATATAAGATATTCAGGGAGAAGATGTGTATCATTTGAATATATTTGTCCGTAGCTCGGGAGCAGGAATGTTGGGATCTTAAAGTTACAAATGAATACAGATTGATTTAAACTGTTATTAAAATCTAATTTAATTACATTTAATTTACTTACAACTAATTTATTGGCAGCCCGGAGTTCCTATTCACGTGACGGTGTCGTGAAGAACGGAGAACTGCCGTACCCTTACATAATATTAGCATTTGGCCGTAGCCTTACAATGGTATCATAACAGGAGGGGCTCAATATATCTAGTCAGCATATTCTATATATTACGTTTATAAGGTATATAATAATATATATGTACATGTATATATGCTGGCTATACATATTTAGGTGACAAAGTGTAAGTAACGATGTAACCATCGTTACAGTATATTGTACATTTTAAATGAATTATATTATATAGATATTGAAAATTACAAATTACGACTAATTTATCATTATTTTTTATTGTCACTATTATATTATATAGAAAAATATACTATGTCTACCATATAAAAGAGTTGGTCATACATAAAACAAAAATATACAAGAGAAAAAAACTAAAACCTAGTGGAAGTGAAGGCAAAAGAAAGAATGGGTTCATCTAAAACATTTAACGTTTTTGGACAATATGATAGAAAATAATAAACGGTAAATTAATGTAGGTACTATAATGGCTTTCTTAATTTTTAATATATTATACTTATAATCTGTTTCAGTACATCTTGCAACCTTGAAAATTATGACACAATCTTATCTACTGATTCTGATATAAGAGAAAAAAATCCAAAGCGTAAACAAAGTGAGTTAATAGGTTTTTAATTTTGTATTAAATTTATCAATGTATAATATTCAAAGCATTTCATTAAAAACTTATTGACACTTATTTTAGTATTTAATTTGTGTTTGTACATATTGCAGGTGAAAATTTAAATATTACTCGTGAACTTCCGAATGAACTTAAAGAAAGTAGACCAATACCACCAGTTCTTCCAGTTCAACCAAATACAGAAGAAATAAATGAAAACGATACATTTTTCAAATATCTGTCTATAAGAATGGCTTACCAAAAGAAACTATCACTAAATTACAGGATGAATTTCTCTCAGCTGTTAGAAGAGAACAATCATACAATATTTAGTTTTTTTAAATTATTGTTATCGTGACCAATTTCTCCCAAATGTGTTGAATCCCCTTAAAGAGGAACAAAAGGCTGTGAACCTCCTACATATTTTAAAATTAATTATTAATGTTTGTCTAGAGACATAGACTGAAAAAAGTATTATCAGTAAGATTATTATATATTATGTTATTACTTATTTATTAAATATGTTGTTGCTGTAAACTATTTTTATTTTGAAGCCTCGCTAAATATAATATATGTTTGTAATTTGCTTTAAATATTATATACCGATTAATTTAACTCATTTATCATTTATAATTATGTTATAACTTGTTGTATTATAATACTTAAGTATAATATTTACTTATTATTTGTTTACAAAATTAACATTTTTACTTAAAAGTCACAATATTCCATTTTTATATAAGTACTTAATGTCAATATTTCTAATAGAAATTATAATTTCAATTTTAGAATCTCAACGATTTAATTGTTATAAACATGATTATTTTACTATTTCTGACTTTTTGTAGTTTTTTTTGAAAATCAAATGAAAAAACCAGGAAAGTTGCTCTACTGCATTGTAGGTTTTGAGAAAGATCAAAGATATCGATAATAAAGTATGATCTTAGTTCATGCTGTTTGTGGCCAGTTTCTGTATTATCTATACTTTGTAGAGTGTAGATAGAAAGAATCCGGAATATAACATACATTATTAGATTGCAAGAACCGAATATATTATTTAAAATGAGAGATTTCATTTTATAAACTCATATTATTCATATAAAATTGAAATCCAGAGCGAATTATTAAGCAATTAGGTCTATAACTTATTAGAGACATAGACTGAAAAGTCTTTAATTCAAATTTTTATGTTTTATTTATTACATCAAAAAGATAAATTTATATCTTATCATATTGGAAATCAAGAGCTCCTTCTCCAGAGAAGTAATTGGTAAATTTTTCTCGGACATCTTTTCCTTCCTTTGGGAGGTTATTAGATCCCATTTGTAGAACTGGCAACAAACCACCTGATTGATTATCTCTTCTTTCTTGCCTGGTAGTTAACTGATTGTCATGAACTGATTGACAGTAATTGTCAGTACCTAAAAATGTAAAATAAAAGGTACTTATAATAATTGCTGAACATTAATTTTTTATCCAAAAAATAACTTTCAGTTTCTCATTACTGATTACATAATTGTGTAACACTACAGTTGCTTGAATGATAGCATGACTGTTTTTTCACTGGCAATAATTGGCCTTCTAAATATCCTCCATCTTGCTGCTAATAACCCAAAAGTATTCATGATAGTTCTTCTTGCACGACTTAAACTTAAATAATAAACTATTTATAACAAACATTAACTATACAACTTATAACTTACATACCGATAGTTAAATATCACTTGTTTTAAAGGAAGTTTAGACTTTTCTCTACCAGGATATGGCCGCATTATATTTGGCAACAGTGGGAATACCTCATCTCCTACCAGGCAATATGAAAACAAGTCAGTAAAAGAGGACAATTTCGTTGGACAGGGAAGTTGCAGTGTATTATTTAGAAGACCTTTCCCAATTAGACTATCTTTAAATACACCACCATAACTACACCGACCAGGTGCTCCAATATCAACCATGATAAATTTATAATTAGCATCACAGACCGCCAACAATACAGTGCTATGTGAACCTTTATAATTATAATTTACCTAACCGCTATCAGAAAATGCCTTAAAAAGATAAATAATTATGTAAATCAATGTTTAAATATAAATTCTTACTAAACCTACTTGATGAATACAATGTTTTCCATCAATGGCACCAATACAATTTCCAAAATTGTATTGTAAAATCAAATTCAAGAGCAATTTTTTCCCAGTCTTTTTGGGTAGGAACTAGGAATGGGTAACATCTAAAAATATAATCTTATTGTAAAGGTACATAATATATTATTGTTAATAAATATAGTACACCTACTTTTGGTGCAAGAACTTCCCATTGAACTGAACAACATTGAAAAATAAATTTAGATGCTGTTGCAAGTCCAACTCTAAATGCACAGGTTATATCTGTCAAACTTTGTCCTGAAGCCAAATACCTACAAATTATAAGAAAATATAAGTATAAAACAATGCAATTATAATTTATAACTAATTACATTTTAACCTGACAGTGGTGGATAAAATTTCTCCAATAGATAGGCAGTCTGGCCTAGTACATAATCTAACTAGTTTAGGCCCAACTAAAGACAATAATTCTTCAAAACAGGTGGAATCCATTCTCATATAATTCACATATAGTAATGAATTGCACAGCTGGTGTTCTTTTAGCAAGATACTATATTGATCATATGTTGGTCTATAAATAAATTGGCCTAATATACCATCTTTTAGGACTTTTCCTATAATAACATACATATTTATGTAATATGTATATAAATTAAAATGTTAAAAGTTAGTTGTATTATGTTTATACTAAGCAGATCAATTTAATAACTCCTCCAAACAACACAAGATTATTATCTTTCTTCTATACAACTGAAGACTATAGTTATAATAGGTACTCAGTTTCATAATTTAAATTTCTTTTCATGTTGTTAAATGATGTAAACAATTGTATTAAAACGGCAAAACATTAAACAAAATGTATAGAACGTCATATACCTTTACACCAACTAGTGAAGTAGAAAATTTTAAATATTATTAAAATTATAATAATATAATACATAAATACATTATAATATAATTGATTTTATTATCATCGCCCGCCAAAAACCATGCCAACATGATACGCGGTTACATTCATTAACCTAATGTCCTAATAATATATACCTAATATATTATACCATTCTACCAAGAACAAAATTGGAAATGGACGACACGATACAGTCTAAAGGCACCTTTAGTCATCAACATTTTTATTTTTACGCAGACTATTAGTTTGCTGCTTTTTATTGTTACAAAGTATACTAAACATGACTACGTAATTCGTGTTGAATTGACAATATTTTTACCACTACAGAATTGTACTTATATTTAAACTTTATATTTGAATAAATAAAAAGTTTTCTTTATTTTTAAAAATGTAAAATTTGATGGTTCTAGAAAAATAACTTATTTGTTGAAAGTGTTTCAACTATGAATATATTTTTTATTAATAATCCCCAACAGCCAAGACTTATTTGTTTAGATTATTTGGCCGTAACTATCCCCGGTTATCATAGCTCATATTGTCGCTGTTTACCGGCCAGATAGGTACCATAATATTATTACTTAACATGTCATATTTTTAACGATCCGTAGGCAACTATCGGCATTATGTGTATTTTTTAAACATTTATAAATTTTTAAGTTTTCTACTTTTAAATAATTGAATTGGTTATTTTAAAAACTATTTATTAAGTCATTCAATTTCAATTTTATAGGAACCACAGAAAACCTAAGTACTCCTGGAATTCAACATTTTTTGCACGTTAGTCTCAAAACACGCTGAATTTCATTTTCAAAGTAAGTATGATGAAAAAAAGGCTATCGTCCATCACAGTCAAATTTTTGAGTTCGTGTTGGAAAAACAAAAACAATTTAATTTTTTTTCTGAATGTCCGAAATCATTATTTTCCATACACAAAGTTCTTTCATACATCAAGGAATTAAAATACGTAACTTTTATTTTGAATTTTTAAGACTTAATTACATTTTCAGAGCATTTTTTGTCACTTTTATATTTTTATGTAATTTTGATATAAGAATGGATAAAATTTGATAAAAATGTAAATTACCGTTCATTGTACACGACGACGTGTCAACAATAATTTCGTCTGGAGTCAGGATTTATCCGATCGGTAAGACATAACGAATATTTATTTTTAATTTTTACCGATCAGATAAATCCTGACTCCAGACGAAATTATTTTTGACACGTGTAGACACACATAGGTACATGCTACAACATATTACATACAATTTGGTAAAGATAAGATAAGCTATTTACCTAAATAGTAATTTTGTATTGGACTGTTGAGTTGAGTCATTACTTCACCGTTAAGTATGGGGCTAGCCACAGATTATATTAAATATAATATAATAATAATATATGTATATATATAATTTTTTAATACAATCTGTGGTATAGCCTCGAGTGATTTTTGTAAATTCATTTAGTTTAAAATGACTGAGGCCAAAACTTCAGATGTTTGTCGTTTGCGTTCATAACGTTCAATATAAAACAACACTGACTGATAAAGTGATAACCATCGAAGATTTATGTTTGAGAATATTAAGCAGCACCTTATTACACAGTGCTATTATGAAACACAGGGTAAAAGTATAATGAATATGCCTATCTAATAATTGTATAACTATTAATTTTTCAGTAATAATTATCAGGGTAAAAAGATGATGATTGAGAAGACAAGAGAAGTTTTTATTTTAAAAATTTTTTATCAGGTACATTTTTCATAATGATGTGTTTTTTATAAGTTTGAAGTCCAAAATTGTGGTAGGTATATAGAATTTAAGCACATTTTAACAATTTTTAGTGCATTTTTAATATAGCAAGTCGTATTTTTTAGGATTTTTCTTACTATTTTGTATGGTTTAAAGTCCGTTCCCTTTCTATAACCAAAGAAACCTTAGTTCAGAGTAAGGCTTGCACATTAATGCTGCTTGATCGCAACAATTGAGTACATGAATCCAACTTCCATATCACATCGCCAAAAGGAGTTTCGTCACAAACATTTTTGAATAGGTTGGCAGCTCATAGAACTATCCAGTCAATAGAACGCGACCTATTGACTAATGATTTATTCATTAGTCGATTACTTTTATTTAACATCTGGACAAATGATGGTAACTAAATTTAATTTATATTTAAAAACTCTGAAGTACCTCCGATGGGTGGCTCTTCCCTCAGCCTTTCTCTGTCTGTTTTGTTCTATTATTTTTTTATCACTTAAGCTTATTGTTCATTAATTGTAACAGATAGCGTAATATAAAATTTTATTAAAAAAAATATATATATTTAAAAACTATTTCTTGCTAAAGTTATATCCAAAGGAGCTTAATATGGAGATGATATGTTTTTTATTTACCACTCACCAAAACAACACTTCGATGACCAAGGTAAAGAAATTGTATATGTACACCTAATAATTTTATCCCAAGTAATGATGTATTGTAAATAATTTTTAATGTTCTTAAACTATATTGTAAATATTTGATATAAAATGCGGCACTTTCGACAAATGACCGTGTTCTTACAAATTCCAATTACCTACTAAATGATATGTAGTTATTAATTGTGTTTATAAGTTAGAAATTTTTTATACGAGTGATCGCGATAGCTTGATGTTGGCCGAGGTCCGGGGGTGTATACCACTGTTTCACAGTACTTTTTGTGGACTTGAGTATGTTAGTAGATGGAATGGAGTCCCAGTGGTGTTGCCATGACAAAAAGATTTTGTTTTTGACGAAAGTATAAATAACATATTAGTATGTTATTTTGTCGATGGTGTTGTTGAGTAGAACATACGAGGGAAACGGCTGTAATACGATTGAGAACGTTCGACCTTTTTTAGCGTACGATTGAGATCACTCGAAATGGAACAATGAAATAACCGCTGACCCAAAAAAACCGTACTATTGAGAACGAAATTATGTGCACCTTTTCCGAACTATATTAAAATCAAAATAAAAAAGAAATAAAACATTGAATAAAATAAATAAAAATTATTAAAAAAAATACGTTCAGCCCTTAATTTGTAATTTGTTAAAATTCTAATTTTAATAATTTTTCACTAAAATTTATAAGGTTAGTTGATTCATTTTACCAAGTTATAAACAATAATTTGGATTTATCAGATCAACTTGAGTAATATTATTATTATTAATAATATAGTTTTTGAAGGTGCAGTAAATGTTAATAATTTCAACAACAATATTGAATAAGCTAGTACCTACCTACGTAGGACATTGTTTCTTACTGCCTAATTCGATAATGTTAATGCGAGGTTACTCTATATGCAACCACTGTTTTAGGTCCAAAAACATAACATAAGCAAACATGTTACATTAATTGTTTATTGTAAGTCGTAACATATTACTAGCAGGAACTAGGTCGTTTTTTCTGCTGTATGTTAAAGGTATAAGCGATTGAAGTGAAATATTTTATACTATAATATTTACAATTTATATTACCTAGCAACAGCGTTATAAATTATTTCGACCATTTAGGTTGACTTAGAAATAATTATTATTATGATTTTATTTTTACATACAATTTTAATTGATAAACGGTTGTATTTTTTAAATTAATAAACCTTTTTAACGAAGGGTATTATTTTTTGGAACAAGAAGTTAGACGACACTATCCATGTGATCTTCAATTTATTGTAAAGTACTAAAGCGTATCATATTGATAACCCGTATTAGATGTACATCATGGGGTTTTGAAAATAATTCGATCAACCTTGGACAAGTAGACGTTGGTCGTAGAGTAATTCCGTATCACGTGGAGCAACAAAAAAAATAAATCTTCATAGTTTATACGTTGTGGCCCTGAAAAGGGCCTTTTTAAGGTGGTAATAATAATAATAATAATAATAATAACATTAAGCACGTTCTCCACGGATACGACGAGCCAATTGGATGTCTTTCGGCATGATCGTGACACGCTTGGCGTGAATGGCGCACAAGTTGGTATCTTCAAACAGACCGACCAAGTAGGCTTCGCTGGCTTCCTGTAAAGCCATGACGGCGGAGCTTTGGAAACGCAGGTCTGTTTTGAAGTCCTGAGCGATTTCACGAACCAGACGTTGGAATGGCAATTTGCGGATCAACAATTCCGTTCTCTTTTGGTAACGACGGATTTCACGGAGCGCGACAGTTCCCGGACGGTAACGATGAGGTTTCTTCACTCCTCCGGTTGCGGGTGCGCTCTTACGTGCGGCTTTGGTGGCCAACTGCTTCCTCGGAGCCTTACCTCCGGTCGATTTGCGAGCGGTTTGCTTGGTACGTGCCATTTCGACTACTGAACTGTTTGTAACTGTTGAACTGACAAATCTGAAATACTAAATTGTGTATGCTGGGCAACGGATATCACACTGGTATTTATACACAAATCGATACCGTATCCGTCGCTTCCATTGGTCGGTGTGAAGCGGTTAGTTCAAGAGTGGGAGAAATCCGGTCGAGCATTCCGATTGGCCGTGCGTGAGCGGAAAAACGTATAAATAAAAAGACGTTATGTTTTTCTGCATCAGTCAACGTTCAGCGTTCAAAGCCGCAGTTTTTCCATCAATAATTCAAGGAACACCAGAAATACGAAAAAATGACAGGACGCGGTAAAGGTGGAAAAGGTCTTGGCAAAGGAGGGGCCAAACGTCATCGCAAAGTGTTGCGTGACAACATCCAAGGAATCACTAAGCCCGCCATTCGTCGTTTAGCTCGTCGTGGAGGTGTGAAGCGTATCTCCGGTCTGATCTACGAAGAGACTCGTGGAGTGTTGAAGGTGTTCTTGGAAAACGTAATTCGGGACGCCGTCACATATACCGAGCACGCCAAGAGGAAGACCGTCACAGCCATGGACGTCGTTTACGCTCTGAAGCGCCAAGGCCGTACGCTTTATGGTTTTGGAGGTTAAACTTTAGCGATTCGCATACACAATTAAAAAGGCCCTTTTCAGGGCCACCAATTCCATACAAAACGACCCGTAGACATGTAGGCAAACTGTAGATTATAATATATAATATGATGTTTGAAATATTTCTAACTGACTTTTTTATTAATACATATAATTCAATTTTCTAACTGCTTAAGACTGCAAAGACCAAATCTGTCGTGCCTTACATAACGGCAGATAACTATAGATTAGAATCGGGAAGCTCTGGTGTTATAGCGCTCAAAATGTATGTGATTGCCTATTCAGCCTTATTTTCCTTATCACTTTTATGTACTCCTTAACTAATACAAATAATTTGGCGCCATAAATCAAAAATATAAAATTTGATATACTATATTTAAATTTTGATTTAAAATTATAATTTGTATAGGGGATTGAATAGGCATCCTAATATATGTAGCTCTACAGTGTCCCGTAGAAAATGTATGAGCTTCTTGTATTCTAATCTGCAGTATTTGATAACGGCCAACGCCGCCTATATTGTCCGCAGTGTTTCCCTTTTTTTTCACAAATTTTATTATATCATAAACAGCTGTCCTCTTAATGTCTACTGGTGAAATTTTTATTGTAACCGCTTCAACAATAACAAGTGTCCATTTAAATCAGCAGTTCCCAACCCCATGGGCCGCGGGCCACATGTGGGCCTCTTGCAGCGTGGTACTGAGTCGTGAACCATTAACATATATAATATTTACTATTATATATATATTTTAAATAATATTATTCCATATTTTTAGTAATACCTAATAATATTTCTGGCTATAATAATTCTTATCACTATTATTTACACTCTGTAGTATCAAATTATTAATTAAAGCTAAATATAAAAATTAACTGAATGTTGAAAGTGATTTAATTGTAAAACCATCCAATTTCCTTCCAAATATTGACTCTCCTGAAGGACAAGTAGTGTCAAAAATCACATAAAATTGTTTAGCTTGTGATTAAGTTTCATGAAGGGTTTTTTTATTTTTATGATGAACAATAATTTTTTTAATTCTAACAACTGACGTTTGTATTGTATATATATATTTATACATTCGTGTATAGGTGAGCTGTTTGTGGGCCTCAAAGATTTTATAACAAAATTGGTGGTCCAAACAGCTAAAAAGGATGGGAATCGCAGATTCAAATCATTGAGTTAGGTTACCATATATTATAGCACCATGATAAGCACCCGTCGAATACCACTTATCACACTTCGCTGACTAACCATATTATGCATCATTTTAACTACTCGTTACATCTAATAATCTAATTAGTATTTTACATCTTCACCATCTTGTTATATAAAAACATTAAAAAACCTAACCTTTGGCTCGAATCAGTAATTAAATTTTTATAATATTTCTGTATAAACATATTAATATTCAAGTATTTTATATATATTTTAGCACTCTATATTAATAATTTTCAAAAAAACAAGAGTACTTTACTAATTATTATATAAACTTTACTTATAAACTACTGAAAAACTCCGATAACAACAACAACTTTTGTGATCAGTATTCGGAAACAAACTAATTATATGCAACATGTTATTCGAAGGTACGAAAAGAAAAGGTAATTCTATTGGTTTTCAATATACGAAAAAACCATTTATTTTTAGATGGTTTACAATAGTAATCCGTACGACCTACGCAGGGTTATATTTATTTCGTCAAACATTTAGCTAGATACCAAATACAATGTTATGTTTCTTTTACATGAATTGCTAAATGCAAAAAGGCGCACGTTCAATATTTTACAAAAATCACTTTATTGCATAATCGAATTTAATATTGATAAATACGTGGTTTTGTGCAGACAAATCACATGTCCTATTAAATAGATCCCCTTAAAAATAATTTAAAATTTCGTTAATTGCAGAAAAGGCACATGTCCTGGACATGTAACCTTTTTGTATCAAAATTATACTATAGTAATATTGATAAACCTAATCTTCGTAAAATCACTTTATTGTATGACATGTTAAATTAATAAATTTATTAATTAAAATTTGTATCAGTTATCACTTAACACTCGTTATAATGAATTATCTTAATACAACAATAAAAACACATAGAACTAAATAGGAATTTCTGTATGTATACATTTTGACTACTGGCTATTTTTATAATCAATCGAATTAGCAATAATATGTGAATCGCTAAATGCAAAAAGGACACATGTCCAAGTTTTAAATTTTGAATTATAAGTATTAATAAAAAAGTCAGTTAGAAATATTTCAAACATCATATTATATATTATAATCTACAGTTTGCCTACATGTCTACGGGTCGTTTTGTATGGGATTGGTGGCCCTGAAAAGGGCCTTTTTAATTGTGTATGCGAATCGCTAAAGTTTAACCTCCAAAACCATAAAGCGTACGGCCTTGGCGCTTCAGAGCGTAAACGACGTCCATGGCTGTGACGGTCTTCCTCTTGGCGTGCTCGGTATATGTGACGGCGTCCCGAATTACGTTTTCCAAGAACACCTTCAACACTCCACGAGTCTCTTCGTAGATCAGACCGGAGATACGCTTCACACCTCCACGACGAGCTAAACGACGAATGGCGGGCTTGGTGATTCCTTGGATGTTGTCACGCAACACTTTGCGATGACGTTTGGCCCCTCCTTTGCCAAGACCTTTTCCACCTTTACCGCGTCCTGTCATTTTTTCGTATTTCTGGTGTTCCTTGAATTATTGTTGGAAAAACTGCGGCTTTGAACGCTGAACGTTGACTGATGCAGAAAAACATAACGTCTTTTTATTTATACGTTTTTCCGCTCACGCACGGCCAATCGGAATGCTCGACCGGATTTCTCCCACTCTTGAACTAACCGCTTCACACCGACCAATGGAAGCGACGGATACGGTATCGATTTGTGTATAAATACCAGTGTGATATCCGTTGCCCAGCATACACAATTTAGTATTTCAGATTTGTCAGTTCAACAGTTACAAACAGTTCAGTAGTCGAAATGGCACGTACCAAGCAAACCGCTCGCAAATCGACCGGAGGTAAGGCTCCGAGGAAGCAGTTGGCCACCAAAGCCGCACGTAAGAGCGCACCCGCAACCGGAGGAGTGAAGAAACCTCATCGTTACCGTCCGGGAACTGTCGCGCTCCGTGAAATCCGTCGTTACCAAAAGAGTACGGAATTGTTGATCCGCAAATTGCCATTCCAACGTCTGGTTCGTGAAATCGCTCAGGACTTCAAAACAGACCTGCGTTTCCAAAGCTCCGCCGTCATGGCTTTACAGGAAGCCAGCGAAGCCTACTTGGTCGGTCTGTTTGAAGATACCAACTTGTGCGCCATTCACGCCAAGCGTGTCACGATCATGCCGAAAGACATCCAATTGGCTCGTCGTATCCGTGGAGAACGTGCTTAATATTATTATTATTATTATTATTATTACCACCTTAAAAAGGCCCTTTTCAGGGCCACAACGTATAAACTATGAAGATTTATTTTTTTTGTTGCTCCACGTGATACGGAATTACTCTACGACCAACGTCTACTTGTCCAAGGTTGATCGAATTATTTTCAAAACCCCATGATGTACATCTAATACGGGTTATCAATATGATACGCTTTAGTACTTTACAATAAATTGAAGATCACATGGATAGTGTCGTCTAACTTCTTGTTCCAAAAAATAATACCCTTCGTTAAAAAGGTTTATTAATTTAAAAAATACAACCGTTTATCAATTAAAATTGTATGTAAAAATAAAATCATAATAATAATTATTTCTAAGTCAACCTAAATGGTCGAAATAATTTATAACGCTGTTGCTAGGTAATATAAATTGTAAATATTATAGTATAAAATATTTCACTTCAATCGCTTATACCTTTAACATACAGCAGAAAAAACGACCTAGTTCCTGCTAGTAATATGTTACGACTTACAATAAACAATTAATGTAACATGTTTGCTTATGTTATGTTTTTGGACCTAAAACAGTGGTTGCATATAGAGTAACCTCGCATTAACATTATCGAATTAGGCAGTAAGAAACAATGTCCTACGTAGGTAGGTACTAGCTTATTCAATATTGTTGTTGAAATTATTAACATTTACTGCACCTTCAAAAACTATATTATTAATAATAATAATATTACTCAAGTTGATCTGATAAATCCAAATTATTGTTTATAACTTGGTAAAATGAATCAACTAACCTTATAAATTTTAGTGAAAAATTATTAAAATTAGAATTTTAACAAATTACAAATTAAGGGCTGAACGTATTTTTTTTAATAATTTTTATTTATTTTATTCAATGTTTTATTTCTTTTTTATTTTGATTTTAATATAGTTCGGAAAAGGTGCACATAATTTCGTTCTCAATAGTACGGTTTTTTTGGGTCAGCGGTTATTTCATTGTTCCATTTCGAGTGATCTCAATCGTACGCTAAAAAAGGTCGAACGTTCTCAATCGTATTACAGCCGTTTCCCTCGTATGTTCTACTCAACAACACCATCGACAAAATAACATACTAATATGTTATTTATACTTTCGTCAAAAACAAAATCTTTTTGTCATGGCAACACCACTGGGACTCCATTCCATCTACTAACATACTCAAGTCCACAAAAAGTACTGTGAAACAGTGGTATACACCCCCGGACCTCGGCCAACATCAAGCTATCGCGATCACTCGTATAAAAAATTTCTAACTTATAAACACAATTAATAACTACATATCATTTAGTAGGTAATTGGAATTTGTAAGAACACGGTCATTTGTCGAAAGTGCCGCATTTTATATCAAATATTTACAATATAGTTTAAGAACATTAAAAATTATTTACAATACATCATTACTTGGGATAAAATTATTAGGTGTACATATACAATTTCTTTACCTTGGTCATCGAAGTGTTGTTTTGGTGAGTGGTAAATAAAAAACATATCATCTCCATATTAAGCTCCTTTGGATATAACTTTAGCAAGAAATAGTTTTTAAATATATATATTTTTTTTAATAAAATTTTATATTACGCTATCTGTTACAATTAATGAA